CCTGGTGAAGGTTTGCTTGGGGTTTTCCGGCTCTGGAGTTTGGGTGCGGTGCGTCCTTGGGAGGACGGTACCAGCGAGGCAAGCCGGAGTGCCTGTCTCTCCGGCAGGCCTTGGCTGGTGTGAAAGGTAACTCCCGAAACCCTGCCGTGTGCCGGCACAGGAAGTTCAGATTGTACTTGCGACGGCTTATTGCTGGTGCTGAAGGCAGAAGACACGGTGGATCGGCTTTGTTACCTAATAACATCTTGCCGATAGTAGTTCTTTCCTATAGTTAGGTCAGAAGTTAAACTGCAATTGATTGCTGAGTTTTTCCAGTTGGAGTATTCACACAGCCCTTTTCAAACAGAAACCTGAGGGGAGTAAAAAGATGTTGATGCTGAATTTTGACCAGGAACTCTTCTCTGGACAAACTGACTGTGTACCCCTGTGAACAGCATCAGTAAAGCAGAGCTGCAGTCCAGCTTTTAGTGATTTGTTCATCAGCAGTCTAGGTCCTGGCCTAGCAAGTGATATCAGAGTGTTAATTCTGCTTTTCTCCAGCACTTCAGCCCTGTTGTTCTCTCACTAACACACAGTCAGTTGTGTTGTCTGCATAAGCCATTTCATGCAATGATGCTCCTATGTATGAAAAACCAAATTGGTTTCAATGACTTCAGGTAAAGGAATTGAGACTTAAAGCCTATGATCTACTTTTTCAGTGTAGGCTTTGTTTCTGTTCTAATTGGGTAAACATATGGGTGTAGCTGAGTTATAACTCAGCTTATCACTGTTTATATTATACCTCTGTCACTGTTGACAAGGGCATGCCAGAAGCTGTTATTGCCCTCACTCAGATGTATGTACAGCCCCTAGCACGGGGAAATCATAATGCTTTACCATGTCACTACTCCAGTATGTGGCACTATGTTGTTCTGTGTAAGTACCTCATCTTTCGGTATAGTAGAGTGCCAGCTCTCATCTAGTTACGAGTTACTCTAAACAGGGAGAGAGCATCAGGATTAAGTGCTGTGAAATCTGTGTGTACTTCCCATTCAAATTTCAAAATCTGTTATGCCCGGGGAGGTGCAACTCTGAATTTTGCCTGCTATCAGAGTTTCTTGGAAACTTCTGATCTGACCTCAGATGGTGGCTTTGCATATCCCACCCAGAGCTGACCGCTCCAGAAATTCTTGCATAATTCATGACACTCATGCTTCTTTAGGAGTTGTTTGTAAGAGGAGGTTAACTATTACTGGAGGGGCAGGGGAAGGTGTAATTATGTAGGATAATTAGGAAGTCAGCAGGAGCCAGAGGAAAATGTACTAGTTCAGCTGAGTAGTTGCGCTAAAGTTTAAGAGGACTTAGGCAGCAATTTCTTCTTGTATTTTGATAAGTGAAGGACTATGCTGTGGTTATAAAATCTAAATATAATAGGAGTTAAAAATTTTCTGTGATGGAAATAACATGCATGTGGAGCACTAGCTATTTAAATGCATTAGTTTCATGCTGTAGGAAGATGGGCCAGTTGGAAAGTATAGGTAATTTTAAAGAGGCTGCTTTTTTGTGTAAGCTGGAATCTAGAGACAGCCTCCATAAGTATGGGAGTTTAGAGTAAACTATGGACATACCTGCACTTAGTGTTGGTGAGATGTTGGGAGCAAGTATGTTTAGTGCATGGAGGACGACTTGCTCATCTCCAACATGAGATGGCCCATGTCTTTGTGGGTTTTACAGAGCTATTTGACAGCATGTGCATAAATCCTTTGTTGCAACTTTGCAGCTGAGTGGAGGTCAGCCAAGAGTGATGTAATTGAGAATGAAGCTGGGACAGAATTGCAAGGTGTTGCTGAACCTGTGATTTGGAAGATGAAGCACCCTAATGCAAGCTCACGCTCGGGTGTGTCCTTTGGTTGATGTAACGCCAGTCATCTGTTGCCTCATTGAGGTGACGCAGTGACACCAGTGGGTCCTTCTAGAAAGAAGTACAGAAATCCTCAGAAGAGCATTAGTTGAAATGGAACAGTCACACCCAGAAACGTCCCAGGGAAAGAAATGAAAATGATGGTCTGTTTTGGTTGACAAATATTTCTTCCTGCAACCAGAGAGGCCTTAGAATATCTGAGGTGCTTCAAATGCCGAGCTGAGGCACTAAATGTATCTTAAAAATTCAGCATGGAGTTCAAGCAACAGTTGCAAGTCTTAGCAAAGCTTGGCCACAGGATTTTATGGTATCTTGTGCTGCTAGTTTCTGATGCTTGTTTTGAACCAGATGTGCTAGGAATTTCAGCTTTAAAGGATTTCCTCTGAAACTTTTCTTGAATGGTCTCTTTTTTTTGTTGTTTCAATCCTAAACGGTTTAAAGCTACAGATGTACAAAGGAAGTTGTATGTCACCCCCATCTAACTTCTAAATAAACCATTTATAAAAAAAAAAATTATTTATATTTTGTCCAACACGTGCTTCTGAGTGTCCTTTCCTTCAAGAAACTAAAAAATAGGCTTATTTGAAGCAGCTGCATATATGGATTATCAGCCTTGTTAGGTGTGGCCTAGATAATATTGTTTGTATGTGGAAAACATTCTCACACTGTTCTAAGCAAGTACATACTTCCCACAGTAGAAATGCTCTTTTCTGGGGTTAGTATTGGGATGGGTGAAGGTAGGTGTTTCTGAAAGTAGTTCCATGAACTTAAGGTAGTAGTTGAAAATTAATTCCTGTTTTTAGGAAGCAGTGCTGCTCAGTTTTTCTTTATTAATAAAGAGGATGTTATAATTAACTGTAGTATGGTGTGCATTTATTTTAGTGAGTATGTTCTTAGAAAGGATACCATTTGAGAATCCATTCAAATTATATGCTTTTACCCCAATCCCTTACTATCTCCTCTCATGTCTCCTGACAACTTTTATAAGTACTGTCACTTTCCTTTCTCCTTCTAGTGCATGACAGTTCACATGTAGGGGAGAAACTAACTGCTTACATACAAACAGCAAACAAATGAGAAATAATTTTTTTTTTTTTTGTCTGGAAGTTAGTTAGTTGCTCATCAGGTGTGACCAGTCAAACCCTTCCATAGAAGTGGTATTTTTGGGGATACATTTTCTTAAAAATGTTCCATTGAATGCTTTGAACTTGTTCATCACTTTCCCTCCGGTTGGGCAATATGATGGCAGTCTTCAGATATGAGGTTCCTATGAGTTTTTTTTTTTAAATCAACAGCTGAGTAGAGAACAGAGACACTGATGGATGAAAAGGGTGTAATGTAAATGCAGCCCCTGCTAGACGCTGCATAGCCTATGTTATTGGGGGCTGATATAAATGCCACAGGAAAAACTTTAATCAGAGTTCATATGTTATTCGTGACCATCCTTAAGATACTAATCCATGGGTAAACTGAACTTTGCTAGTTCTCCAGGTTACTGAACTGAACTTTGACTTTCAGAAAATCTTATTACATAATACTCTTGAGTTGTGTGAATTAAGAAAAGCAATGAACTACCATAAGCTGTTTTTAAAGAAATATTGTTGAAAGATTTTAAAAAATGCTGATCTTTGTGGTTTTTTGTGTCTGTTTTTTCCTCTGATTTAGAAAACTCTATGTGATGTCATTCTTATGGTTCAAGAAAGAAAGATCCCAGCTCACCGTGTTGTGCTTGCTTCAGCCAGTCATTTTTTTAACTTGATGTTTACTAGTAAGTCTTTTCAAAATTGATTGATTATAAGCTTCTGTGATGATATCCTGTTAGACTTGTGGCTGACAAGCTGTTTATTTTATGAAAGTGATTAATTTCAGGGATAAGTATAAGTGAAGCTCTCATCATTTTGTGTCCTTCTTCCATTCATCTCTGTTCACCCTTCCCCTCAATTTCCCTTTCTCTTTTGATCGAGTGTTACTTCATATGTAAGCTCTCTTATTAATTGGGGCCCATACACTGTGTTAGAGTTGGTCTGCCTCCTCTAACCTGAAAATTGGGAGTTTTTACTCCCATGACAGAATTTGTCTGCCCCGTTGCTTCCCACCATTAGGCACTTCCAGATATAAAATGGGCTTTCAGAAGTGTAAATATTCTTCCATTTATGCTATCTTTGCAAATTCAGTTATGTAGTATCTATCTTACTTTTGTATGCCTTACCCATGAATTGTAAAATTACTGTGCTATAAAACACACATTAAAGTCGAGCAGAAATAAAATAACTGTGCCTTCCAATGGTCAGCTTGTAACTGTTTGTGGGCAAACTTACAGTGCTGTGTCTGGATGTGGGGAGCTCGGAGCTGTCTCTGTTATCAGCTTGAATGTGGAAATAGCTTTTGACAGTGCAGCATGTGCTTCCTGTTTTTGGTAATGCTACCTTGGCAGTCTGCACTCGAGTCAACAGCATCTATGACCTTTTCTATTTAATACAATTTATCATAATTTACATAATACAAGCATGCGCACACACCAGTTATCTTGTTTGTCCCACTGCCTCCTTTCTTTCCTGACTTGCATTAGTAATCCTGGGAAAACAGCAATCAACTGTGTGCAGTTTTTAGCAGGTTCCCACTTTGTATAATCATTTAATTTTCTACTGTTTGCAAAACATAAAATAATTAGAGTGGGTTATTGATTGTCTTTTAATCTTTTTGCAGCAAATATGCTTGAATCAAAGTCCTTTGAAGTGGAGCTAAAAGATGCAGAACCTGACATTATTGAACAGCTCGTGGAGTTTGCTTATACCGCAAGGTAGGTTTGTTATTTAAAGCTGACACTTTTTCTAGGAAGCCTGCCAATTGTAAATGATAAAATCTTAAAATAATGCTTTTATGATTCATCAGTTTTGTTACCATTATAATTCTTTACTTTGTTTAGAGCTTGATGTGACTAGACCTTCTATCCTTCCCTTTTCCTTTTTATTTAATCAGTAGGAAGCCCTACAGACTAAAGAGAGTGGTAGTTGTCTCCAGAAAGCAATTCAAAGCACTTCAAGCTTTTGACTTCAGTGTTGGAGTCAAATGATATTTCCCATTGTTCTGAAATTTAGGCCCTTATTGATATCAGCAGGGTTTCTCTTCATGACCATGGTAGCTATTGCACAGAACCATTTCCAGGAGTTATACCTTCATCTCAAGACAGGCAGGGTGGATAACTGTTCTGTGAACAGCATTTCCCTCCTATCTCAGGTTGTCCATATGTTTGGGGTTTTTGTTGTTGTTGTTGTTTTGTGGTGTTTTGTTTTTTTTTTTTAACAGAGCTTGTGCAGATGACTAGGATTGTAAACACTTAAAACTTCTTAATCGGCTCTCATGACCGATGGATGGCAGGCCTTTCATCTTTGTACTAATGGGATTAACTCTCCTTAGGAAGGCTTTGTTCTTTCTTTGAGAGGAACCTTGTCAGTGGTGAGAGACAGTCAGTGTCAGCACCCCAGCCATATGGTTGCCTCCCCTGGTGCCCAAGCCCTTGTCTGTGGGCTCTGTACCTTCTCTTGAAGCACTGCCAAACTGGTTGTTCTGCTTGTGCACTCTGGCCAAATCAGCCAGAGCAGTCTTGACAATGAGTTTAGAGAGATTTTGCTGATGCCTGTTTGGGAGTAGGAGACTGTCAGAAGAAAGGTTCTGTTCATCTTCTGTTTTGTGAAACTGGCTAATCACACAAGTCAAAGCAATTGCATGGTACTGCAGAGGGCCTGTGTTAAAGGCTTGTTCTTCCGAATCCAGGACTGCTTACTCTTTGCCCTTCCTCAGTAAAGTAGAGCAAATGAAAGCAATTTGGAAAGATCGTGAAGGGAGGTTGTGCCTTCAGACTGTATGTGAAAGATTCTTGGGTGAATAGCAGGGAAATAATTTTGGCATTTATGTGAATTGGTGTAAGTTGCTTTTTTACTACAACAAAGTAGGTGATTTTAGTGATGCTAATTTTACACCTTCTGTTTTGCAGAATCTCTGTTAACAGCAATAATGTCCAGTCTTTACTAGATGCAGCAAACCAATATCAAATTGAACCTGTGAAAAAAATGTGTGTGGACTTTTTAAAAGAACAAGTCGATGCTTCCAATTGTCTTGGTAAGAGAAATGCAGACCTAAATTTACTGTTTATTTCTTAACTTTGCTGTTCCTGAAAAACAGTATTGTCTAAAAGACAGTAATATTTGGCTAAATCCAGGCATGTAAAAATAATTTTGCTCTGAATCTGAACTGTTGTCCCTTGCCGTAGACAAAACAATCTGGCAGTTGTCTTCACCAGTATCAGGGTTCACTGACTGTGCTAGGTCTCATCCCAGCTTGGCAGCACCCTGGAGCTTCTTGTTTGTTAGAGAACCTCAGCTGTCTAGTAAGGTGGAGCTTTCAGTTGTTGCTACTGTACTTGGAGACAGAATTTGGCAGAGTTGTAATTTTAACAAAACTAGCATATCCTCTAAAAGTAAGAACAGGATAAGTTTAGGTTACTTTTGGTTTTAATTGCTCTTCATTTTGACTGAAATCCATGAATGTCATCTGGGCAGGTTTGATATTAAATATGTTCTGTAGCTCTGATGTGAACTCGGTGTTACAGAAAAGGTAAACACCAAGTAAAACTAAATGATTTTTCATGCTTAAGATTTGGTGCATTTTATTTAATCAGAGATTAAAGATAAACTTGTTTATAGGGCTTCTTACTGACATTTGTCATGTAATTCTCCTAGTAACATCTCAATCATGCTGTAGATGTTTATAATATCAATAGAAATGTTTTGCAGAGTATCTGAATTATAATGATTCAATTGACACTTCAGTGCAGTACAGTTGTGGCTCTGAAACAACTGCTGGAAGAAAGACATTACCTTCTAAGGAAAATGCCACTTATGCTTGCTTTAAGACATATTCCCTCCTCTGGTTTTTGTTAACTAGAAAATTAATTATGGTCTCTAACGCTTGCATACTTTGTTGCTAATTTATAGCAAAAAAGGAGATAACGATTAAATAATTTTTTCCTCAAGGCATTGTTTACAAGTTGAAATGTATTCTGTGCAGATTCATGGGCAAGTCCATAGTTCATGTAAAAAAGTGTATTTGAAAGAAACCATGGCTTATTTTGAATCTCTTGAAATTTTGTCAAGAGGTCATACACTCGGATTTTATCTTTCTAGTTTGCTTTTTGCTACTTAGAGCAGCTCAGGCTAGTTGCAGCCCATGGGTTGGTGAGTTGCTTCTGCCCCACTTGCCATCTCCTCCATAGGAGGAGGAGGAGAACTGTAGCATGATGAGCAAAAGTTGCTGCTGAAAAACTCTGTGCTTACCTGGCTTGTAATGGGAAGGTTGGAAATAGTGCTTGTCAGTAGCAGTTGCTATTTATACCTTTTATGCCAACCTTCTGCCCTTGCAACAGCATCAACTTGACTTTTTTGTGTTGGTCTGCAGCTGACTGTGCTACCTGTATAGCAAAGTTCCAGTTCACTGTGACTCTTGAAGGAAATTGGGCTTGGTTGGTGACTGCTGCACGAGCAGGTTGGGGAGGTCACAAAACTTGGATCCAGTTTCTGAAGCTGTTCTGGTTAGACTTTGTTATTGTGATATGGCTCAGACCTGGTTAAGGTACTGTTGTCTGCTTTGTAATGGGGAAAGAAACAGTGAGGAAATAGTGCTGGAAAGATAGTTAATACAGCGAGTGCTGCAGGTCTGACTCTCCAGTTAGTTTGATAGGGATCAGAAGCTTGTGCTTATCTTAGTTTGTCTGGAGTTGCAGATGAGTTATGACAGCATGTGTTTTAAAGAAAAAGAAAAAAAGACCATGGTAATAAATATTAAACTGGGCTTACAAGTATCACTGAAATTACGGTAATTTTATTCTATTTTAATGTATTAAAGGTAATTGCAGTTCAAGTTTGGAAAGATTTTGTCTTAATTTTTCCTTCATAGGTATAAGTGTGTTAGCAGAATGCCTAGACTGTCCAGAACTGAAAGCCACTGCAGATGACTTTATCCATCAGCATTTCACTGAAGTTTACAAAACAGATGAGTTTCTTCAGCTTGATGTTAAGCGTGTGACACATCTCTTGAACCAAGATACGTTGACAGTGAGGGCAGAAGACCAGGTGAGATCCCTGTTTCATACCAGCTAAGAGCATTGAACTACACTATCTTTTTTTAATCAAGAACTAGTTTAAAGTATCTCACTTCTGATGTTCCTACAGTATATGATGCATATAGTGCTTGCTAAATTGCAGAATAAAAGGTTCATCCTAGCTTGGTCAAAACCAAGTATTAATGAAAGTCCACATTTCAAGTGTGGTGGTTATATGTGTTGTTTCAGCAAACTAGGAAGAAAGAAGTATAAAGGGAGTAAGCAAAACAGTTTCCTTTATTGAGATAGGGCTTCTGATTCCATAGTATGTGAGCTGAATTAAGTTTGATGTATGTTGTGGTTTGACCCCAGCTAGCAACTAAACACCACGCAGCCACTCGCTCACCCCCCGCCTCCAGTAGGATGGGGGAGAGAATCGGGAGGGCACAAGTAGGAAAACTCACGGATTGAGATAAAAACAGTTTCATAATGGAAATAAAACGAAGTAGAACAGTAATAATAACAATAACAGCAATAACAGAATATACAAAGCAGGTGATGCACAATGCAGCTGCTCACCACCCGCTGACCGTGTGTCCCGACCGAGAGAGGCCCCCCCCATAGTTTTTATACTGAGCATGATGAGACATGATATAGAATGCCCCATTGGCCAGCTGGGTCAACCGCCCTGGCTGTGCTCCCCCTGCTTCCCCCCAGCTTCCCCTGCACTTGACAGAGCATGGGAGGCTGAAAAGTCCCTGGTGCAAGCACCACCTAGCAACAATGAAAGCATCAATGGGTGATCAATGCTCCTCTCATACCAAACCCAAGACACAGCACCCCTCCGGCTACTGGGAAGAAAGTTAACTCTGTCCCAGCCAGAACCAGGACAATGTATTATAGCACTTGCTCCTAGATTGAGGTTCATGTGCTATCGGTGAAAGTGAACTACTTCAAAGTGGTAAGCAAACTGCACCTTAATGGCTGCATGTCTCTACCTGAGTATGGTCTCAGCCCATTTCAGAGAGGAGTTGCTTCTGATGGAAACATATGCATACACAAGTTAAGCTTGGGGAACTGAGGGACTTGGAAACAAGGTGAAGAGAACACTGAAAGCTAGATGCATTGACTGTGATGGATTGATGGAAGGCCCTCCTTATTTAGGGAGTGAACACAAACAAGTTTAGGTGGCTGAAAGGAGCCTGGAGTTTCACTCAATTAAAAGTTGTAACCTGTGGTGGAAATTACATTCACAGCTATCCCATTTGGAAAGCTTGGTTCAGCTTATAGCACAGCCCTGAATGCTTGTTTGCCAGCATTTTCTTCCTACTGCAGGAAAATAGGAAGAGTATAGGTGTGTCTGCACTGCAGCCCAAAGAGGTGATTGCAAGATGGTTATAGCTGCTGGGTACTTCTTGTAGCTTCTCAGCCAAATCCATTGAAGCCATACTGAAATCTTGCCTTTCTAGCTATGCTGTTCTGGTGCTTGAACTAGGTAATTTAAGTTTGGGTATGTCATCATGAGTTGACTCATAACTTTGAAGTGCAACAGAGGGATCTCATAGTCAAGATGGTATGTGTATCCACTTAGATAGAAATGGATGTTTTCCTGACTCTGAAGTTTAGCTTTCATAGAATTAATGCATTTTCTTCAATGTACCTCTTGCAGTAAAAAGCTTCAATGAAAATAAGAATTACGAAGGGTGGGGGATGATATCAGGTGACTAGAGTATGATAGTTGGCTAGTTATAAGTACAAATGAGTTATGTCACAGTTCAACATTCTTGCTATGTGCTGGGAAAAGTTGAGGTCACAGGGCAACATTCTCAAAGCTGGAAGTGTGTTTAGCTTGCAGCCAAAATTACACTTTGGAATTTACATTCTTGAAGTTACGTTGGCAAGGTAGGATGGCACACTTTAACTTGGCAGCAGTGGTAGAAATCTTGTGTTGGCAGCATGGCATCATTAAAATTCCTTTAGGAAAGTGGCAGTGTGCAGTATGAAATAGCAGAAGTTTGCCAGTGATACTAAAGGAATCTTATTTCTCAGGAGTACTGCTAGGAAGTTGACATTATACTCTAACTTTTGTGTTGGTGCAAAGCATATTTACATTTAGAAAAAAAAGGAAGGTAGCTTTAATTACTAGCTGTGCTATTTTTTCCTGTGTGCAAGTAATGTTTCTGTTGATGAAGGGATATGATGTTCCTGTCCCAGTCATTCTGTTGAATTTCCTTAGCTGATGAAATTGAGCCTTAAATACTTTCTTATTTCTTTACTCTCCCTTGCTCTCTGGTCATTTTGCAGGATTGTAGCTGAGATGGTTTAGCAGTCCTTCTGAATAACTCTAATTCTACCGTTAAATGTCTTTCCACATTATATCTCTGTCACTCACTGCTGATCACTGTGATCAGTTTCAGCTACAGGAGTAGGTATTGACTGTGCTATCACTTGTAACGAAGCTAGTGCTGACTCTGAAGTGGCAGCATAGTAGATAAGCTTCCTATGTCTGAGAGCAGCACTGAGGTATCTTAGTACATAGGTAATACTGGATTTTCATTTCACTGCTTCCAGACCCAGTGGACAATCACAAATAGAGCAGATTTCTTGGTTACCTTCCCTGTTCTGTCTTCCCTGCCCCCTAAGAAAACCCATTATCTTTTCCTGTAAAGAGGAGACAGAGAGGAGGCTCTCTGAATGGTAAATTTACGGCAGTCTGCAGCTAAATCTTTAATTTAAATGGTCCCCTAAGACACAACAATAGCAATGTATTTGGATCCCCAACAACTATGATTTGGTAACAGAAGCAGTTTTTCAGCTCAGGAGACTATATCGAGTGGAAGCTATATCAGTATTTCTGGTGAAGTATTACCGGTGTTTGTGACATGGAACTCGAAGCATATTAGTCTTAACCTGGTACAGGGGTTACCCCCGTTAATGTGAATTGCAGATTCATGCTTCCCATTTGCAGGAAAAGAAAAAAAAAAAAAGGCTAAATAGCAGAAGTAGTGGGTTTTTTCTTTTTAAAGTTTGTAGATGGGTTTTATTCTGTGGTTGTGCATTTATTTTACTTCATGTCTGAGCATTTTCTTTTTTGGTGTTTGGTTATTTTGTTGTGGGTTTTGGGGGTTGGTTTTTTTTTTGGAAGATGGTGATGGATCCCCACATACTAAACTGTTCGTATAAGTTAACCTCCAACAGGCAGAAGAATCAATTTGGAGCATTAAGCTTTCATTATTTGTCTTACTGTGTGGTGATGTACCTTATCCTTCTCTTTCCTTCTCTTGTTTAAGGTTTATGATGCAGCAGTGAGATGGCTGAAGTATGATGAGCCAAATCGCCAGCCGTACATGGTTGATATTCTTGCTAAAGTCCGATTTCCTCTTATATCAAAGAACTTCTTAAGTAAAACAGTTCAGGCTGAACCACTTATTCAGGATAACCCAGAATGCCTTAAAATGGTGATCAGTAAGTTGACCTCTAGCTGAAATCTTTAATGTTCTGTATAATTTTAAAAATGCTGTGGAATTTTTGAAAATTGTTTGCTTTAAAATGCTCTGATAATTTTCACATTAAATTCATCTGACTGTGTTCCCTCTAGGATGCTGCACTTAGTTGAAGTTGGATTAGCAGATTATCACGTAAATAAAACCCAGTTTATGTAACAGAGTGTGACTTTCATTTCTTTCCTCTTAGCAAATGACATGAACTCCATGATGAGTAATGGAAAGGAGATTTTGTCAATGAGTCATTAGGGTAGTTGGAAGTGTTAGTGTGCCTTTGGGATAGGCTAGTAACTTTAATATTGTTCATGTTTATATGTGCTTTAATAAAAAATACTTTATGTCAAAATTTTGAACATTACAAAACTTCCCTAAGCAAATGAGAATGTTAAGCATATGTTGTGCTATTTTCATCTCTAATATATACTGACCACTGAGCCTACAGACAGTTTCATTCTCAAGGTGCAGATAAGATAGGGAACAAGCTTCACTTTTGTTTTTAGACACTGTTTGTGAAATTTTATCATGTAAGAAAGAAAAGCCTAGATGCTGATAAATATTCTGGAAGGAAATTTTTTTGTTTCGGTAGTGGTTAACTAGTGGGCTTCATTTTAGTGTAGATCTAAAAAATGGTATGCAACTGTTTTCCTTCAGTCAATGAACAAGATTCAAATTAATCTCTATGTTGGTAAGTATTTGCTGACCATCGACATCTCAGTCATACTTCTTGTGTGACATGGAGTTGGGTGCATTGTTTAAGAAATAAGGATTTTTGTTTGCCTGGTTTTAGTGGCTGGTAATGTCACTAATATTTTTGCGTTCTTTGGAATGTTTCTTAGGAGAATGCTTATTTTCTTATACCAATTTTAACTAATATTTTGCATTGTCAAGCTAAGAACAAAAGTGAGAGGTTTTCTTGAGGTACAATATGCTGGAGATGCCTGCCTTATTAATCAGAAATTGGAGGGTGAGGAGACAGGCATCGTTGATACCTCACTGCATTCAAGTCCCTTCCTCTGATGTTAGTATTGTCCTCTTTAGGCTCCCAGTTCTGCTCTTCCTTTTCTTTGGGTTTGCTTCCTTTTGCCTGTTTCAATGCAACAAACTTAGTTGCTTGTTAATATTGGCTAAATGAGCTGATAGATAAATTGGTGTATATAACATGAGTCCATAGCCATGTCTGGTTTTCACATGGAGCAGGCAAGTTGAAATAGGGTGCAAATCTGGATGTATGCTCCCATCCTCATGTGCTGCTGTGCATTCTTCCCTTTTAAATCAAAGCTGTATAGGTGTAACATAGAAACTTGTTTTCCCTCTTTTCCCTCCCTTCTCTCTCCCCACCATCCTTGCCTCTGAAACGTCCCTTTCCATGTATGAGCTACACTGGATCTGCAACAGTTGTTGTCTTCCTTCCAGGTGGGATGCGATACCATCTACTTTCCCCAGAAGACAGAGAAGAGTTAGTGGAAGGTACACGACCAAGAAGAAAAAAACATGATTATCGCATTGCTTTGTTTGGAGGCTCACAGCCCCAGTCCTGCAGATATTTTAATCCAAAGGTAATCGTTACCTCAGAATGCATTAAGATTCACTGTTTGTAATCTTATGTGTTTTATTTGCTGATGATATTAACTAAGACATAATGATCTACAAAACAGTATTAGGAAGGATGTATTCCCTGCCTCTTGGGTATACAGTTGGAGGAGTATGGTTAATTAGGTATTTTCAAATCCATGTACCTAGATGTAATACTTCATTTTCAATAGAATGATTATGTGTTTGTTTATTGGCAGTATTAGATATGGAGTTCTGATAAATCCGTCTGAGTTGAGAATTGATTGGTATGTGCATCCCACAGCTGGAAATAAATAAAAGGTCCCCAAAACATCAAGCAGTTGATTAGGAATATATGAAAGTATGTATGCATGTGCATGCATGTATGTGTTCAGAGAATAACTTAAAGCAATTTCTTTTTAGCACAAGTTAAATTATTGGCTTGTATGTTAGTGTAGAACCCAGTTTTAGAGTGCAAGGTGGTTTTTCAGTGCATTTATAATAAATATGTAACCACTTCTAAATCCCAATGGTTCACAATTTTGTTTGTTCTTAAGAGTATATAAGGAGAAGAATTGGGAGCCAAGTATTACGTAAGTGGAAAAGAGTGAGTTTCTACAACAAAAAACTTAGAGATGGCCAATTTAGAGCAAGCAAGCTTTGCCTGAAATTTGTTTCCATGTTTCCTGAATAAAATCAAGCCACAGGAATGGTGTATATTTCAGCTATGCAGACTAGATGGTCTAGAAACCTCAGCTGCATGCAGAAGGATTATCCATACTCTGTTTTGCCAGGCAAGCAAATGCAGTAATACAAAAAAAAGTTGCTACGTAAACATCAGGGCTCTCTGAGTTACAAGATCACATACATGTAATATTTTGTTGCAGAAATTCTGGTTGTTCTAACTCGGCATATTAAATGCTTGTTATAATTTCAAATAATTTCGTGTGCTATCTGTGTGAACTTTATAGTCAGTGTGAGCCCTGTCAAATCTAATTCAGAATGAATGAGCCCTTGGGATGTGTTTTGAACTCATCATTCACATTCCCTTATGTAAGATAAAATTGAAGCCACCTTCTTTGAGCACCACTCAACTCTGGGGGAAAAAAACCTACCAGTTTTGCTGACTTAGTTTGAGAGACATTTAATATGTATTTTTATTGGGAATTCCAAATTCCTAAATAACGACCACCTTTTTCCTTCATACACACACTCAGTAAGATAAGCAGTACTTCAACTGGGGGTGAGGAGATGAGGGAAACAGAGCAGATAATTCTTTCCTTTCCAAGGTTTGAGTTGGGGAAGCCTTTGATCAGGGCATTCATCAAACAGTTACTTGGTTTTGGCATTTTAACAAGTTGTAATTCACCCAGTATGCTTTGACCTTTCTTTTATTAGAAGGAAATCAGATCAAAGTTTCTTTCTCCAGTTACTTATATCGGAACAAAGCTAATTTTAGGCAGGATGGAAACTAGCTTTGAGAGTTACTGTCCCAGTCATTAATTGGCAATGGTATTATCAGCATAGCATGCATGTGGTCTCTTTACCAACCGAACTGATAGGTTAAATTCCGTAAGTGCCTAATGTGAATGGTGTCAGAACTCAAAAGATGGAGGTTGTTGCTTCATCCCTCTTTATAAACTAATATAAACACCACCCCCCCAGTTGTCACAATGTATTTTCTGAAAACCTGATCTTGTTTGAAAAATAATCATCTCAGTGCATGCTGAGTGCGAGTGACAGGCAAGGACTTACAACTAAAAGGAAAATTAGTTAGGTAGTATGTAGTTAGGTGATCTTCAGTCAGACCTAAATATAATATTAGAAAGAAATCTGTTTTGTGGACAAAAAGTCATATCTATATAAGTCTACATAAAGCATAGGATAAAATAGCTTATTTTTTTCATACACTATTTGTCCAAGCATAACACCAAAAAAGAATTGAGTTTGGAAGAAATTTTGCAGAACTGCCTCTTGATCAAGCTTTATGGCCTTGCATGTGGATTAATGGGTGGGGAAAGGGGGGGCAGGGAAGGAAAAGGAAAGAAGTGGGTAATTGGAGATCTTGATTCTAACAAGCATGTCTTCCTTGAATGTTTTCCTAGTGCATATATGCTTTCTTGGGTATTCTTAGCTAGCCTGTCATGTCTTGTTTGAATAGCTTTTACTTACTCCATTTCCAACTCTAAGCTATTTAAAGGTCCTTTTCTGGATGTTTTGCTTGAGTATCTGAGTTTGATCTTTAATTAACTGTGATAGTAGCTTCTGAAACGCAACAAACCAAGGATCCAGAACCCCTATTGAATTAGCATCATGTGCATGCAAAGTAAGTGTGGGATGTAAGGCTCCAATGCTGCAAAGACTGTATCACGTTTAACTCCCTTTAATTAGTCTCATCAAAAGATGATGGGAGTGTCACAGAGCAGAGAATTAAGGTTGTGTATGTACTTCTGCAAGGTTAGGACCTTGGGAAAGAACTGAAATTTTGTTTGTTGTCTGTTGAACTGGTTGAATAGTGACCTAGTCCTTCACTCTTGATTTTAATTAAATTCAGTAATTTAATTAAATTCTTATATGTCAGCTAAAGAAACAGTTCAAAACAAAGGTTTTGTTTTTCCTGAAAATATTTTCTCAGTTGTAAGTGATACAAATTTCAGTAATTCTAACACTATAAAACTAGTGCAAAAAAATTTAATTTTCACTGATTGCTTTGCACGCAAAATTAGTCTCTAATGTTGATCTTCATTTCCTTGTTGTCAAAAAGGGTTCTTTAAATAAGAATGGATTTGGTACTGTGTGATATTTGTTGAGACTGTTAGCAGTCTTACTTTAAGTCTGTATTTGTTGTCTCTTGCACTGTAACTGATATTTCTATTGATGCATGTACTTCATCAAGAGAGCAAAATGATGCAACAGGACAGATGCAGATGGGCATAAAACTTGTGGAGCAATCTGGCACCATTTTGAGTAGAGATGTTTGTTTTCAGACTACTACTAGAAATCCTAGATGTCCTATTAACGGTGGTGGGAAGCATTTTCTTGTTGAATTTTCCACAGAATATTTTTAAAAAGCTGCTTTTTTTTTTTGCCCAAGTTGGGAATAAAATACTTTGTTTTATGAATTCTTGATAAAAATTTATACATGACTTTATGGGATTTTGAGGCAGCAATGTGTTTATTCTTTTGAAATTGTTGTCTCTAGTGACCAGAAATGGCTGGAAGTTTTAACTTTTTAACAGTGCAAAATCCAGCAATGGCAAGTAACAAGTAACAGATGCCTGGCAACGCTATTTCTTGATGATTAAGGGAACCAGCATATCTTTTATGAGGAGATAGAGCTGTAGTCAATAAGCAGTTAGTGGGGAGATTTTTCGTGTTAGGCATGTCTGCTGTTTTCCCTGACAAACTTGGAAGAGGAGGTATCAACTGAAAATGAGGGAAAAGTCTTAAACAAAAGGAGGTACTTTTTCACATGGCCTATAATTACATGTGCCATTCTTGTCACAGGGTCTTGTGGCTGCTAGGAATACAGATAGTTTTAATAAGTGATTAAATAAATTCATGAAAGAGGAAAAAAGCTGTTCAAAAACTACTAAATCAAAGGTACAGCTTCTTCCTCTGGTGTCCTGCATCACAATTTGTTGAAAAAAAAGATCAGCAGGGGAAGTGTCACCATATATCTAACTTGGTT